CACAACTTCCAGTTAAATGTGCTCACGGAGGACCTTGGGCCCCAGGGAGGGGGACAAGGACAGAACCAGCTAGGCCTGGAGGCTAAGTCTCCGGATCAGGCCGGTGATCTTTCTCCCACACCCCGCAGTCCCCACTACTGTCTGTCTGGGAAGAGCTGCTGGGCGACGCCGGCGCTCTCCTCCCAGCCCTCAGGCGGCGGTAGCCGCGGCCGCCCGCTGGCGGGATTCTGGCCCGTGCCCCGCGCCGCCGGGGTCCTCCGCCTCGGATCGCGGGGTTCAGTCGGGGATGCCGCCTGCGGGGACCGCCGGCTGTCGTTGACAGCCGTCCCTCCTCAGGTTGCGTTCCCACGTGTCCGGTTTGCCTCCGGCGTTCTTTCTCTTCCCGAGCTGCCAGGTCCTGCTCTCTGTGCGTCGGGGCCGGGGCCACACGAGTCGCAGGGAACGGATCCTCTGCCCTGAGCGACGCCCTTCTCGGTCACGGCCATGCAGCTGCTTTCCTGAGGGAAGCGCGGAGAGAGGCTCTGTGTGGAGGGATGTGGGGTCCGATGGCACTGTGCGCTGTGAGGGCGCGCTTTTCAATAATCCAGCACATTCCTCTCCAGTCTCTCTTCTTCAAACACACCGCAGGCTTCCTAGTTAGCCGTACAGCCCGGTGACAGTAACGCCTGCGGTCCCAGCACTCCGGGAGGCCGAGGCCGGCGGATTGCTTGAGCTCAGGAGTTGGAGCCCAGCCTGAGCAAGAGCAGCGACCCTGTCTCTGCTGAAAATAGAAAAATTAGCCAGGTGTGGTGGCACTGACTCTCAGCTAATTGGGAGGCTGAGGCAGGAGGACTGCGTGAGCCCCAGAATTTGAGGTTGCTGTGAGCCAGGCTGATGCCGGGGCACTCTGGCCAGGACAATAGACTTAAGACTCTATCTCAAAAAAAAAAAAAAAAAAAAAGAGAAAGAAAAACTAGCTATGCCGGTAGTCCCAGATACTCAGGAGGGTGAAGCAAGAGAATTAACTTGAGCCCAAGAACTTGGGGTTGCTGTGAGGTATGACGATGCCACAGCAGTCTTGCCTGGGCAAGAGTGAGACGCTGTCTCAATAAATAAATAAATAAATAAATAATATGGACAATAAAAGCATCTCCTCACAGGGCTGCAGGGAGAATTACAATGTATAATGCATGAAAGGCTCAACACAGTTCCTGGCAGAGGGTAAAGCAAGCGTTGAATCAAGGACTGAATACAAGAAATGATTTGAGGTTGCCTGTCATTTATTGAGCGCCTCCTATATGTTCTGTACTGCGGTGAAGTGCAAAACGGTAAGTGCAGAGAAGCAACCACAGCACACTGGAGTGTACTTAACAGAGATTGCGGGGAATTAGTGAGTTTTCCGGAACTTGAGTTTTTGATGGGGAAGGGTTTGGCAAAGCGAAGGTGGCAGCAGTCTGCAGCGATGATGGATACTCCGGGCATAGTCAGCAGGCTCCTGCAGGAAAGCTGTGCGGGAGTGGGTGGTGTAGCACCCCACCAGTGGGTCACGTGGACCCACGCGCTGAACCGAAGATGAGGTCCAGTCCAGTTTAGTTATTAGCCGCGTGACATTGGCTAAGTTATTGAACCTCTCTCAACTTCCCCAACTGTAAAAAAGTGTCTGTTAAGAATACTCACCAAGCAACCCGTGAGAGCACGTGACCGCGTTTACGCGAAAACGATTTACTTACAAGATATAATATGCCTAAACTGGGCGCCACTGGTGGCCACAGGTCGCCAGGGCTGTAAGCCCGGCACACAGGGGCGTGGGCTCCTTCTTTGGGCATGCGCGGTGGGTCCGCGGAGCGGCCCGTCAGGCACTGCGGTAGGCGTCCCAGGGGCTGGTAGGGCCCTGACCCCAAGATGGCGGCGCCCAGCGAAGTGGCCGCGGCCACCTCTGGCGAGGGCGATGGCGGGAGCGGCGGCTTTGGGTTATGGCTAGACGGACGATTGGAGGCCCTAGGGGTGGACCGAGCCGTTTATGGCGCCTACATCCTGGGTGTCCTGCAGGAAGAGGAGGAAGAAGAAAAACTGGATGCTCTGCAGGGTATCCTCTCTGCTTTCCTGGTGAGTAGCCTGGACACATTCCTTCAACCTCAGGCCAGCGTCTGAGGACCCATCGGTATTTAGGACTCTTCCTTATCCTACATGTTATTTCCAAGGCTCACTGTCTCATCTGGGAGAGGTGTAAAGTTATCTAAGGACGGGGTGGTGGGGGAAGGAGGTTGCTCCCCAACCAGGTTTGGGGAAGCTTGAAGATATATAAACACGTAGAGGGGCAGAATGGCTTTTTCTTATTCCTGAGAACCAGGCCCACTCTGATCCTTATTGGTGAGCTGAGGAGTGTTCTTCTGAAGGCATAGAAATGTCAAAATGAGAGTTTATCATAATTATTTAACGACCACTTCCACTCTTACCTTTTTTCAATGTTTAGAGCCGGCAATAAAAAGCTCTTGGGATGTCTGTCCCCATTAGGAGGCAGTTCCCAACACGGTCCCATGGCAAAAGCCTGCAGGAAATACTCTCTTGATTCCTGTTTTGGAGGTAGGGGTCCAAAAAAAAAACTAAGCTGGCGGTATAGGTCTTTTCATGCCTAAGCAGAACTGAAGCAAATGTACTTGATCCATTACAGTATTTGGAAATGCGGTAATCATTGCTGTGTCTGGTGGGGGGAGGAAGTGGAGATGAGAAAAATCAGAGCTTTAATGAAGAGTGATAAACTTGGCACTTAGATTCTGAAAAGCATATTCACAAATTCAGAAATGTGTACTTTAAGCTGTGTTTCCGTAGTCGCCCCAAATGTCCACTTTTTCAACCTGAACTTGATCATTTCTGCTGCCTTCATTTTACCTTTTCCACCCAAGTACACACACTTACTAGATTGGTGGTTATAGAGTTAAATTGGTTACAAATGTTGCCTGTGGCTGTCCAACATATGTTCTCTTTTAAATACAAACTCATGAATATAGTTTACTTGCATCATCACTAAATACTGTAGAAGGCCAGTTGCAGTGGCTCATGCCTATAACCTAGCACTCTGGGATGCTGAGCCAGGTGGATCACCTGAGCTCAGGGGTTTGAGACCAGCTTGAGCAAGAGGGAGACCTGTCTCTACTAAAAATAGAAAATGTAGCTGGGTGTTGTGGCCCCTGCCTGTAGTCCCAGCTGCTTGGGAGGCTGAGGCAAGGGGATTGGTTGAGCCTAGGAGTTTGAGGTTGTTGTGAGCTATGATGCCACAGCACTCTACCACGGGCGGCAGATTGAGACTATCTCAAAAAAACAAACAAAAAAACCCCACAAATACTTTAGAAGCTAGAATTGTCTCTGCATTCATGGTTTAGAGGAGATCCTGGAAACCAGACTGCTCCTGTGTCCATTGAAGGCTTTATCCTCTGGCATCTATTACAATAAGCAGGTTTGGAAAATGGACTCATTTGTTAATCTCAAAACCAATGTTTAGGTACTATTAAAGAAGAACAAAAGGTACTGTGGACCATGGGACAGGAAAGGTGGCTCACACCTGTAATCCAGGAGTTTAGGAGGCTAAGGTGGGAGGATCACTTGAGGACAGGAGTTTGAGGACAACATAGCAAGACTTCTACCAAAAAAAAAAAAAAATTAGCCAGTTGTGGAGGCTCACTCTTGTAGTCCTAGCTACTCAGGAGACTGAAGTGGGTGGGTCCCTTGAGTCCAGGAGTTTGAGGTTATAGTGAGCTATCATCATGCCAGTGGGTGACAGAACAAGACCTTATCTCAGGCTCAGCGCCTGTGGCTCATGCGGCTAAAGCATCAGCTACATATACCTGAGCTGGTGGGTTCGAATCCAGCCTGGGCCCGCCAAACAACAATGACAGCTGCAACCCCAAAAAAGACCTTATCTCTAAAGATACTATGAATATATCTACATATAAATATACATGCTTTGTTTTTTTTTAAAGAATAGAGAAGGGTAGAAGGCAGAAAACACTTTTTCAAATCCAACAGTATTTTGTGAAGGCAGAATAGGTGCTAGGAAAAAGTCGTTTACACTTGGGGGAAGTGCAGTTCATTGATTGGGCACATGGTTGTAATATAATACTAGTGCACCTGTCCCAGATCCTTCTGGCAAGAACCCCTTTAAGTTCCAGAGCCTGCTTTGGAGAGATTGGCCTATAAATCAGAATACTTTAACACAGCTTGTAGGGCAGCTCAGAAGTTCAGTGGAAGTACATAGAGTGGAATAAATTCTTTACTTGGACTCTGACTTTACAGATTGTAAGGGGAAAGAGTAGGAGACAAGCAGTTTAAGTCAGTTTTTACATGGTGTTTCCAGCTAGGAGGTTTGTAAAAACTCCATGAAAAAGCTGTTACGGTAACTTCGGAACTTCATAGTACCAACTCACTGACCAGTCCTTTTCTTGGTGTTTTTATTTGGAGCTATGTACCCGTTGATGGAGGTAGACGTGAGTTTGGCATACACTGTTAACAGTCTCTTGGTAGATAGGAGAGGTAAAGTTCTAGAAATAAATTTGGTCTGTCTCATTAAATAAATTGCAAAAGACAAAATTATCTTTAATGTTGGCTTCCCACCTTCTGCCCAATTCATATACCATGTTTAATTTTTTTATGGTTTTCCCAACCTCTTCTATATGGAAACAGACTCTAGGGAGTATTGGCCAGGAATTTTATGGCAAAGCAAGAGTCCTGTCTATGAAAAATTGAGGAGTATCTTTGTAGAGTGAGAAGAGCCAACGAATGTGGTATATATTAAATACATAGTACAGTGTGCTGCTTCCTTTGTTAGTCTGGCTGCAAAGACTTTAAGCAGCTCCTGACTGTTGTACCAAATCACTTTCTAGGAAAAACAAAAGCACAGCCAAGTCAGTCACCACCTTAGGCTAGGTCTAGGATTCAGTATGAAGACTTTGGTAGGAATAATTGAGGTAAGATTCAAGAATACTGGTATATAGTCAGGAGCAGATAACAGTAAGCAAAACCTTTCTACCATCCTTCTCTTTATTCCTTTCAACAGTACTTGCATTGGTGGGTCGACTGATTCATCAAAAAATTTTTTTTGATTCATCAAATTTTTATTCATGGATTAATGTATACCAGGCATTGCTCTAAGTGCTTGGAGTACCTCAAGGAACAAAACAAGCAGAAACTCCTGTCCTCTTGGGGTTACATTCTAGCAAGGAAAAAACGTTATCAGTAAATTACATAGTATGTTACAAAGTCATAAGTGCTAGGGGAAAAGGAGCATTTTAAGAGGATCAGGAGTGAAGTAGAAGGGTAGGTTGCAATTTTGAGTAGGGTATAATATTTTATGCAGGTGTTAATATGCTAGCCTTCTAAATTGTATCATGAAGCCATTTTTCATTTCATGTCATCTTAGTGCCTTGAATATATATATCAGGTACCTTCTGAATAAATAAATGAAGAAATAGATAAATGAATTTAGTTTGGTTTGGGTAAGGAGACTGGAGAAATAAATTGTTTTGTCCTTCAGGAGCACCTTTTCTCTTTTCCCTCCCCTCCTTGTTCTTTATTTCCCTGTTTGGGGGTGGTGGTGGTGGCATTTTCCAGTTGTTACTGGAAACCTACTAGACAAATTGTAAAGAAGCTGTAACACTTTCTTTCTTTCTTTCTTTCTTTTTTTTGAGACAGTCTTACTGTGTTGCCCTCAGTAGAGTGCTAGGCATCACAGCTCACAGCAACCTCTAACTCTTGCGCTTAAGTGATTCTCTTGCCTCAGCCTCTCAAGTAGCTGGGATTACAGGCGCCCACCACAACACCCAGCTATTTTTTGGTTGCAGTTGTCATTGTTGTTTAGCAGGCCCGGGCCAGGCTCGAACCCACCAGCCTCAGTGTATGTGGCCGGCACCCTACTCACTGAGCTACAGACGCTGAGCCATGTAACACTTTCTTGTTCTTTCCCCCCTCTCTTCCTTTGCTTTCCCAGCTAGGGATTGGAGTGAGGAGTCCGTGAACTATTAGAACTCTGAACCAAAGAAGTTCTGTGTTTAGCACATGCTAAGAGGATGCAGGGTATAAAAAGGACTTCTTTGTTTGGTACAAAAAGGATAGCTACAATAAGTCTGTGTTCTGACTCTCCATTTTTTTCTTTGGGAGATGGTATCATATAATGGTTAAGAACATGGGTTCTAAGCTGGAGTGCTTGGGGAGAAATCCTATTTAATCCATTATTACTTACATGACTTTCGACATGTTAACTAATCTCTGTGTTTTGGTTTCCTCATCTATAAATTGAGAGTAGTAGTAGTCCTTACTTCATGAAATTATTTTAAGAATTGGGAGTTTTCATATAAAGCTTTTAGCCTGGCAGATAGTAAGCACTTAAAAAATGTGAACTGTGACAGCTTGCCCCGAGAGATACAACATGAAGGTGGTGAAAGCAGCTGTAATGAAGATGGAGGGAAATGTCCATATTTGTTGAATGCCTATTTTTTGTCAAGTAGGGTAGGCACTTATACACATTTTCATTTATCCTCACTAAAATCACGAGAAAGTGTGAAGATCAGAAGTTAAGAAACTTGCTTACACATCTGGGATTTGAACTTAAGTATGTCTGATACCAAAAGCAGCATCATTTTTATTATACCATATTGAAGATGGAGATTGTTTGGGATGTAGAATGTGTATGCATCCTTAGAGAAAATGGATTAGAGGGATGGTTGGATAGGTGGCCATCTATTCACATATTCTCCCCTCCCCCCAACCCAGAGTCTTGCTCTGTCACCAGGCTAGAGTATAGTGTCATTATCATAGCTCACTGCAACCTCAAACTCCTGGGCTCAAGCAGTCATCCTCCCTCAACCTCTAGAGTAGCTGGGACTATAGGCATGAACCACCATGCCTGCTGATTTTTCTATATTTTTAATAGAGACAAGGTCTTGCTCTAGCTCAGGCTGATCTCCAATTCCTGGCCTCAAGCAGTCCTCTTGCCTCAGCCTCCCAGAGTGTAAGAATTATAGGCATTAGCCACTGCACCTAGCCAGTGTATCTCATACTTATGATGTGTCAGCAAGCTCATGATATGTTCCAAGATGAATGTTGATAAACCCTGGAGAACATTCTGAGTTAAATGTATCAGCCAAGGAATATTTCATAGAGCAGAATATTTACTTAAGGGTTTTTGTTCCAAAAGCATGGGGTTGTGTTGGGTAAAAGGGAGATTTTTTTTTTTTTAGAGATAAAATTTCCTCAATTTGTCACCCTTAGTAGAGTGCTGTAGCATCATAGCTCACAGCAATCTCAAACTCTTGGGCTCAAGTGTTTGAGCTTCAGCCTCCCCAGTAGCTGGGACTATAGGTATCAGCCACAATGCCTGGCTATTTTTTAGAGATGGGGTCTCACTCTTGCTTAGGTCTCAAATTCGTGAGCTCAAGCAATCCACCTGTCTCAGCCTCCCAGAGTGCTAGGATTATAGGCGTGAGCCACTATGTCCAGCCTGGAAAAGGAGATGTTGACCAAAGGGTACAGAATTTTAGGCTGGAGGAATATGCTTTAGTGATGTGTTGTGTGAAATGGTGACTATAATAAATAATTCTAGCTTTCAGAAGTCAAGGTGAAAGGATTGCTTGAAACCAGGAGTTCCATATCAGCCTGGGCAACATAGCAAGACCTATCTCACATCGCTAAAAAAAAAAAAAAATTAACTGGGCATGGTAGCAAGTGTCTGTAGTCCTTACTACTTGGGGTGCTGTCGTGGGAGGATCACTTGAGCCCAGGAGTTCAAGGCTGCAATGAGCTGTGATTGGGGCCACTGTATTCCATCTTGGGCAACAGAATCCATCGTATATTCAAAATTGCTAGAAGACTCCCCACTCCAGCCCCTAGCAGGGAAAGCAAAGGAAGAGAGGAGAAAAGGACAGGAAAGTGTTGCAGCTCCTTCAGAATTTGTTCAGCAGATTTCTTTTTTTTTTTTTTTTT